TTTGAATTTTGATCACGTAAACCCCCCAGGGATGCCGCAAACATCAAACGTGGAAAAAGTATCATAAGTTAGTTTTTTTTAGTGCCATTTGTAATTTCGAGCAGTCTCTAAATGAGAGGTTGTAAGTCAAGGACTTTTTGTATAGGGATGCGCTTAGATCGGGGGTGTCAAACTCGATTTCATTGAGGGCCGCATCAGGGTTGTGTTTGACCTTGGGGAGCCGGGGTGGACGTGGCCAGCTCAACGTTACTCGTGTCAGGGGGGCCTGTGGGGGGCCCAAGTGCTCTGCCAGCAAAAACGGGCTCCCGAGCTCCATTTTTGGCTGTGACTTCTTGCAACCTTCTGCCGTGGTCCTCCCGAGCTCTGTTTTCACTGGCAGAGGCACCGCTGGCTGCTCCTTCGCTGTTTCCAGGGCGGCCCCCGCGGGCCAGATCTAAGCACCCCACGGGCCGGATCCGGCCTGCAGACCTTGAGTTTGACACCCCTGGCTTAGATGGATGGTTTGCAGTTCTCGGAGGCCATGAACTAATACGATTCGCTCTTCGTGCTGTTGTGCATTTTTGCAGAAGGCGTTTTATCTCCCAGCGCTGCTCTCTAGAGTTTTTAGAAGACATAGTGGGATATGCCAGTGCGCGCAGGTACTTGTCAAAAGCAGCATTAACCTTCCATTGCATGCTTTGCAAGTCCTTTTTTTCCCCCGCCACCCTCATTCAAGCCAAATTAAAAATTAAAAAAAAAACTCCCGAACCTAAGCATGCATGCTCGATCCAACTATGACATCTGCAGTCCTCTCGTTATCCTTGAGAGATCTTTTCTTTTTAAATCGCAAATATTTACGTATTTGTCCTCTCTCTTTTTTTTTTCTTTCCTTGAAATGTAGAACGAAGCATGTATCTGGATCTCCGCGACACAAAGGCTTGAAGAAAGTACATTTCATCAAGAATATGAGGCAATATGACACACGGAACAGCAGGTGACTTTGGCTTTAACCGAAGTAGATCTCTGAGCAAATCCATGCACATTTTGGTTCACAGATTCATTGGAGGGACAAGATGGCTGAAAAAGTGGGATGGCGGTTCTGTTGGATCTCTGAGGTGCCCCCCTTACTGGCTTTCTCTGACCAATGGCAGATATAGGTTTATTTTATTTTAAGTTTATTTTATTCAGTTTAGGTCAGGTCTGGTTAAGTTAGGTTAATTGTTTATTGCCCACATTTATTATTTACCCAAATAACTTGAGGTTGTGTATATATATATCCACCATCTTCCTCCTATTTTCTCCACAACAACAATCCTGTGAGGTGCTGAGAGAGAGTGAATGGACCAAAGCCACCCAGCCGGCTTTCATGCCTTAGGCAGGACTAGAACTCACAGCCTCCTGGTGATTGACTCAAAATCACCTTCCCGGCTTTCATGCCTAAGGTTAGGGTTATCCTCTTATAATTGGGGAATGGGATTTAGAGACTCCACCTTGCCAACTAAATGTTTCACCAATATTGCATAAATCTTCCTCACTGAAGACCATACAGCAGAGATGGTTACAGATGACTTCTGTTGGAAACTGGAGAAGTCGTTTTTCTAAATCTTGCATTAAGGAAAGCATGAAATGGCTGCATTTAAAAAAAAATAAAAACCTGGGCTTCTAATTGCTCACAGAAAGCTATTTAATAAAAACCCGAATTATAAGGGCTATTGATCCAACTCGCTAGAAATCAAAATGCTTCTATAATTCACAATATTCTTTCCCTCTCTTTTCAGGATAGTATTAATTTGCGCAAAACGAACCCTTTGTGTGGCTTTTTCGATCCTGCCTTACGGAGAGAGCTTAAGGATCAGGTGAGAAATTCCAATTTTTCTTACGAGTATCTTTAACTCTGATGGGCTATGAAGTGGTCATCTTTCTAAGCTTATCCCAAAGGTGGGTTTTTTTTCAAAAGGCAAATTGGATTTGCTTTTCCTTTTAAGAAAATAACTTCGGGACAACCATGACCTGAATTACTGAGAATCTCCATATACATTTTTCTAAGCTTATCTGAAGTCATTCCCTCCCCCCCCCTCCTTTTTTTACTCTTTTGGATAAGATCATATTGCTCACTCTTGCAATAATATGGTTTTGCTTCGGATTGTATAATATTGATGACTAGCTGATAACCCGGCATTGCCCAGATATTTATTTATCTGAATCCTGTATTAGACTGGAATGAATTATATCAAAGTAATGCTGGAACACACACACACAAACAAACTTGAATCCAAAATGCACACTATCACTGTCAAAATTACTGTGATTTAACACTATAGATATAATTCATTTTTTTTCAGCAGCCCAGGCATTCCAGAGTTATGCTGTAACATACACACACACACACACACACACACACACACACACACACACACACACAAACACATTTGTGTCTGTGTGTGTGTGTATTTCCTCCCAGGTAACATTCTCCCATGGATGTCTAGAAACATATCAAGAAGCCACACTCTTGAAGCGTTAATACCACTTTATAATCCCTTGGGAAGGCCACACTTGGAATACTGCATCCAGTTTTGGTAGCCACAATGTAAAAAAAAGATGTGGAGACTCTAGAAAGAGTGCAGAGAAGAGCAACAAAGAGGATTAGGGGACTGGAGACTAAAACATATGAAGAATGGTTGCTGGAATTGGGTATGTCTAGTTTAATGAAAAGAAGGACTAGGGGAGACATGATAGCGGTCTTCCAATATTTGAAGGGCTGCCACAAAGAGGCGGCAGGGGGGTGTCAACCTATTTTTCAAAACAGTGAAGGCAGGACAAGAAGCATTGGGTAGAAATTAAGAAGAGAAGCAACTTAGAACTAAGGAGGAATTTCCTGACAGTGAGAACAATTAATCAGTGCAACGACTTGCCTCCAGAAGTTGTGAATGCCCCAACACTGGAAGTTTTTAAGAAGATGTTGGATAACCATTTGTCTGAAGTGGTCTAGGTTTTCCTGCCTAAGCAGGGGGCTGGACTAGAAGACCTCCAAGGTACCTTCCAACTCTGTCATTCTATTCTAAAGTATCGCACCCCATAAGTCATATCCCTGGCCCTGCGCACTTCAGAATTGAATCACTCATTAAACCTTAATTAAAGCAGAGCTGATAAGCAGACTGTTCCGTTTAATCACCTTTCCTTCGGAACTCCCACGACATGCTTCGAGTTCTTGCTGGAAGTATATATCACATTTAATTAGCCTCGCCATGAAAATAAAGCAACTTATGTCACCACACAAGTTCCTGTGATTAGTGCTATGAAGAAGGAAATGGATATTTTCATGACAGCCGTCCCCCATACGGATGCCGCTGCTATAAATAACGTATGGGAAACTTCTTTGTAACTTGATGGGAAATAGCGAAGACATTCAAAAGTGCTTCGTTTTAATGAAAGCCAAATGAATTATTTGGGGATGGGAAACGTAGATTGAATACCTCGCAAATAGTTTAGCTACTGATTTAAGAGTCTTGGGGAAAGGCAGTTAGAACAGGGGTCCCCAAACTTGGTAACTTTTAAGACTTATAGATTTCAACTCCCAGAATTCTCCATGCTGCCTGGAGAATTCTGGGAGTTGAACTCCACAAGTCTTAAAGTTACCAAGTTTGAAGACCTCTGCAGTAGAATAATATAATTGCAAACTTGTCTAATATACCATGGGCTTGTGTGCAGCTGAATAGAGAGAATCCCCGACTTATGACCATTTGTTTAACAGTGGCTCAAAGTTATAATGACCCCGAAAACAGTGACTTATAACTGTTCCTCACACTTATGACCATCACAGCATCCCCCGAAGTCACCAGGTCAGAATTTGGAGGTTTGGCAGCTAACATGTACGATGGTCACAGTGTCCCAAGGTCTTGCAATTTGGATTTTGACAAGTGAAGTCTCCAGATTCAGTTAACAGCCAGGCAACTCCCTTATGTGATTCGCTTAACAACCACAGTAAAAAAAAAAAAGTCATAAAATCAGGTCGGGTCATGTAATGGTTTTATTAAGGATCACATTGCTTAGCAACTGAAAATTTCAGTCCCAATGATGGTCATAAAACAAGGACTACCCATATACATGCTTTTAAGACCGTGATAGCAAACCTATAGCACATGTGCCAGAGGTGGCATGCAAAGCCCTCTCTCTGGGCACATGCGCCGTCATCAGCTGCCCTTCCAGGTTATGCCGTGTGCATGTGCAATGGCCAGCTGCGCATACGCATCAGCCAGCTGCTCTCTCCTGAGTTCCATCATGTGCATGCACAAAGACCAGCTGGTATGCACGCACATAACAGAACCCAGCAGAGCAGCTGTTTGGCACGCCCTTGCGCCCTGGCTAGCTGCTCTTTTCTGGGTTCTGGTGCTCCGGCGCGCATAAGCGCACCTGCATGCATGTACATGCGCTTGCTCCAGTTTTGGCACTCATTGCCAAAAAGGTTAACCATCACTGCTTTAAGATATGAGAAAGTAGTTTTCATATTTGTTCAGTTCTGTCTCTCCAGTTTTGGATTAATTTTTCAAGCTCGAAATCCTGATGTGTTATTTATGGCCTTCCAACATTTCTCATGTTTTGCAAGGAATCCTAAAGAGTTACAATCACATCACATCCGAAAGACAGCCCGGCTAGAGAAAGCTGGCAGAATGTTTTCTTTCTAAGCGCTGGGTGACTTATAATATCCCACTGGGCATAAATTTGAACGAGTTAACAATTGCCAGGAAACTTCCTACTTTTATGTCGTTTTGAAGGGGGGATGAGTGCGAAGTAAAGTTCACAGATGTTATTTCTAGCAAAAGAGGTTCCCAGGGCAGCATCGGTTCTTTGTGTATTTTATAGCTTTGCGAGCTTACGTCTTTTCCTATATTATATCCTCCAGCCTCAGGATGGAGTTCAAAGGCCGGGTTCTGTTTTCAGTCCTCTCGAATCGTGGGAATAACTTTTAACATTTTGCGAACGAAACTCTTTTAAAAGTAGGATGAACTCCAACTAAGTGCTCTTGACTATTTACTGAGCTATATTTTTTTCTTTCTCTTCTCTTCTCTAATCTTTTGAAAACAAACACTTTCCAACCAGGGAATCGCCCTTTTAATTTTTCAACGTGTGCGGGTGCTTTATTATTATTATTATTTGCTGACCCAGCTGGTTTGGGGCTGGGGATGAGAAGAAAGCAACTTTTGAATTTTCTGCTTTGCTCTCATTCTGTCTTCTGGACAGCGAGCTGAGGATAGAGGGCCAGAAACAGAGGCATCCATCGGGTGGAATTTCAGTCACGTCAGAGATGGTGTTAGGAATGGAAGGCGTGGAACTAGGAGCTGACGGCAAGGTAAGACCCCACAGAGCGGAACAAGTCATTTGTGTTGTGATGTGGAGGTTTCCAAGGGTGTGTGTGTGCGCTTCCATATCCCAAACTTGCTTTTCCCTTCCTTTTTTTAAAAGGTTTTATTGATTTTCTGTTGTTTACATTTTGTTACTGCTTCATAAACATCGTGTTGTCTGGGTTATTTAATTCACTTAAAAATACAGATTACATTCTTAATCTCCACCTCTCTTTCCCAACCACTGGTAAAATAAAGTCCATGTTTGATAATATTCTGTGTCTTCTTTCTGTTTAATCTTCAGCGTAAGTCTGTCCCATTTCTGCGCAAACTACTATCTTCCTAATTATCTCTTCGTCTCGCAGTGTTTCTTCGTTTTTCCAATATTGCGCCAATATAATCCTCGCTGCTGTTAAGACATGCAGTATTAAAAATATACTTGGCTTATCAATTTTTTCTGATATTATACCTAATAAAAACAGTTCAGGTTTAAAATCAACATGTTTTCCTATCATCTTTTCTAACCACTTATGTATTTTTGCCCAAAACTTTTTTTGCTTTAACACAATTCCACCACATATGATAATATATGCCCTTTTTTTGGTTACATTTCCAACAGGCAACTGAACTTTGGTTGGTTTTTTTCCTTGAAGTTCTTTAGTCAGAACTGAAGAAGCTTCTTGGATGAGAAGCAAAACATTTCAAGGAAAAAAAAATCAGGAAAGTCCAGTTGCCTTTTGAAAAAGCATCCTTGGGACATCCTTGACCTGGATGGTTGAGAATCTCCATAGACATCAATTGGGAAGAAATATTTTTTTAGAGGTACTGAAACTATTCCGTAATTAATTTGCTCTCAACTCCTTTCCTTTGAAACTTCTCCTTATGTGCTTTGCATGCCATGCTTGCCTCTGTTAAATGTTGAAGGCGCTTGCTCGCTCCATGCACAACGCCACATGGCTAGCAAACTGCCTCCGGGTGGCTCGCTTGAACTTAAAACTGGTTAGTTCTGGGTTCCCAGATTTGATTAATTTTTCAAGCTCAAAATTCTGCTGTGTTATGGCCTTCCAACAACTGAACTTGTGTCTTCCAAATGGGGAGTTGAAGTTGAATAAGAGAATAACTAAGATGGAAGGGACCTTGGAGGTCTTCTAGTCCAATCCCCTGCTCAAGCAGGAAACCCAAAACCTGGGATGGCGAACTTATGGCACCCGTGCCACAGGTGGCACGCTGAGCCATTTGTCAGGGCACGCAGACAGGCGTTGCCCTGTCAGCTGGCCAGTGCGCATGCGTGTGCTGGCCAGCTGAGTTCAGCCTTTTTTAAAGCCATTTTCCCCCTCCACAGGCTCCAGAGGCTTTATAGGATCCTGGGGAGGGCAAAAAGAGTCTCCCATGCCCCTCCCCCCCGAGACCCTCCAGAGGCTTCAGGAGCTTCCCTGAAGCCTCTGGAGCGCAAAAAAATGGCCTATGGGCAAACCGGAAGTTCCGGAACGGACTTCCGGTTTGCTCCGTAGGGTTGGTTTAAGCCCTCCAGAGGCTTCAGGGACCTTCCCGGGGTGGGGGGGGGGACTAAAAACAACGCAGGGTT